TTTTCCAAGAAGAGGCTGGCCAAGACGGAGCCCAAACCGGCAGACAGCCGCAGACTTGAGGTAATCGTCTCATTTCTAAGATTGAGGTTCACTTAGGAGCACATGGGAAAAGGCAGGTAAGAAAACGCAAAGGCAGCTTCTCTCTTGAAAAAAATTGTGAAACACAGCAGGGTGCTGAGGCGCACCTCTCATCCCAGGGCTCAGGAGGCTGAGGCAGGAGGATCTGAGTCCAAGCCAGCCTCAGCAAAAGTGAGGCGCTAAGCAACTCAGTGTCTCTAAATAAAATACAAAATAGGGCTGGGGATGGGGCTCAGTGGTCGAGTGCCCCTGAGTTCAATCCCTGGTACCCCTCCCTCCAAAAATAGTTACCATTTAATAGAAAATCATACTCATCTGCTCATTCTGGAGGTACCAGAATGCCTAACATAAAATACGCTGCTTTCCACTCCTTCGCCCAGTGCAGACATCACTAGCTGATCACAGCTCTTTTTGACGAACCTAAAGACCGTCTCTGTATCCCTTTCTGTTCTCAAAAGGCAGTTTCTAGGAGGGGATCAGAGACCCCACACAGGGTAGGAAAGCGGGGATTCGTGTCGGTGCAGAACAAAGACGCCACCTAGTGGTGGGTATTGTTAATTGCAGGCAGAGTGACTAGAAAGCGGCCGGTCCTGGAGCGGGCGTGGCAACGCGGAGCTGGGAAAGGATGCTTGATTGGTCTACAGACAAGATGTGCTTAAAGAAGGGTTTTGCATTTCAATCTGGGGTTTCCTTGCTTTAGCCCAAGAAACTAACAGAAGCATTTCAGGGAACAGTTGGTAGCAAAGGCTCTTTAGAAAGCCTTTAGAAAGCCTCCACATTCTTCTTGGAGGCAGAGTGGTCCCCCATATTCTTTTTGACAAGGGTTGATGCTCCCACTTCCAGGCCATCCCGCTTTCCCACTCTGTACACTACGTGTCTCACTCTTTGACTTCAACATGGGTACCATTGCCTGAGCACTATATGAGCAGGCTCTTTGCAAGACAGTCATGCCTTATTTACGTGCTCCTCATAACAGCCTACCTGGAGACAAAGACTCTTACCCCCATTTTCCAGGCAAAAACACTAAGTCTCAGAGAGGGAAAGCCACTTGGCCAATGCAACTCAGCAAGGAAACAGGAGTGGGATTAAAACCTTCTCTTGGCCAAGTAGGACCCTTGTTGGGACCCTCCCTGACAACAGGCCACCCTGGTGGAAGCAGGTCAGCTATGCCCCTGGGAATGTCCCACCAGGACTGGGCACAAGCAGCTCAGATGGGCCTAGACGCCCCTCTCTGGAGGGAAATGGGCACCAGGCAGGGTCTCAGAGTTGATTCTGGACCTGGGCTAACCTGACTTGCCAGAACCAGAGTCTGAATCCAGCTGTGCAACTGCTAGCTATGCAGCAGCTCAGGACCCTCCCTTTCCCTGGTGAAAGACCCCCTGGGGGTTGCTATGGTAATGCTGGCAGCCAGAGGGTCAAAGACTAAGTGCCAGCACAGTAGGAAGCGGGTTGGTGTTGACCCTTCCTCCCCCCTACCCACCCCCTGCCCCCCTTTGATGCTCCAGTTAGGACTCAGCCTCCCTCTTCCTCCTCTCTGTCCTCCCTTCCCCCTCTTTCTTCCCTGTGAGGAAGCAGCCAACTTAGGCTTCACGTGACTCCAGCTTCAGACCTAGGGCAGGGGGAGCCCTGGCTGTCTGTGGGCCTCATCCTCCAGCCATGGCTCCCACCTCCCATCTGCCTCTGAACAGCCTCCATTCTGCTATGTCCCAAGCAATTGCGGGCCCAGGGCCAGGTCTGCAAGGGCCCAGGGTCCTTCCTGGGAGAGCAGGAAGCGCCACCTGCCTCCCTCGGGGCCTGCTAGGACCCCGGCCGCATTTGGAGGCGCTGGCCTGAGTCAGCCCTGGTGCTGTGGATGCTCTGCCCACCCTTCCTGTCCTCCCTTCCTGTCCTCCCTTCCTGTCCTCCCTTCCTGTCCTCCCTTCCTGTCCTCCCTGGAGGTGGAGATCTACACAGAAGCCTCATCCCAACACCCATGGGCTGTCCCAGGCTGCTGGCAATAGCAGCCAGGCTGCACCTTACACACACACACACACACACACACACACACACACACACACACACACTTTCTCTCAAACACAGGATTTAATTCTTAGGGCACAGGGTGACCAAGCTATGCATAACTTTTTGGTATTAACTTTTACGATCTGTGCACAGGATTCACAAGATGAAAAGCACCCTCAGCCCCTCAGCTGAATAGTTAGTCATCACCGATTTCTTGTGAGTTCTTCCAGAGAGAGTGGGTGCACCATTCACCTACTCAGGGGTGTATCTTCTTGCAATTTTCCCACAAGGAGCAGCATCCTTGACACACGGTGGCACTAACTGCTTCAGCTTCTTTTTTCATCTAACCCTTGACCTTGAGGGCTGGGGGTGCAGCTGGGGTAGAGCTTACGCTTCCAGCACCGAAACCCAAAACCAAACCAAACCTGAAAATCATCTTGGAAAACAGTTCACCTCAAACACTGAGACCTACGCCACATACACATGTACTTGG